AGACTAACATGCTGTCAGCACGTTAAATAAATGCCTGTATTCAGGCCTCGTAGCGACGCAGAGCATCTCTGTTAAGTCTCAGACGGACACTGTTGGAATCAAATCCTTTCAAAACAGACAGTGAAAAACTAAAATTATACAAACATAATATACAGTGTATATCCACACAGTGTACACATACAGTGCGTTAAAAAATGAACAGCTGGCTGCAGATTTTATGAATAGTTAGTGAATTACTTGTCAAAAAAACAAACAAACAAACAAAACAACATATTACATCATCTGGATTGTGCTTGAAACTCTAACTAATTACGCTGCTAAAGACTCATTGCATAGGCTAGCTTTTTTTTAGCCATGCTACTGGCGTTCCTGTAGTGCAGTGGTTCTGACAGTGAGCCAGCAGTGGGCCAACAAATCATTTGGGAAACGGTACAATATTGGTGAAAAAATGCAATTATAAAAAAAAATATTAAAAATATTAAAGAAATTATTTTTCAAAACATTAAAAATGTTTAAAAACTCATTTTTTTTCCTATTTTTTTGTCTTCTCATATTAATTTATTGTTGTTTGCTATCTCAGTGGGATTGCGCGCTAAAAGATTACATCCATGGCAAAAACTGGACTATCACGATGGATAGCTGGTTAGCAACAGGAAGAATTCAAAGGAAAGTCAAGAGACAGAAAACAAGAATAAACAAATTATAAAAGTTGAGCTTCCTACATGTTTCCCCTGATTTCAGCTCCAGAGTTCGGTCCTGACTTTTCCTCCAACGGCACCCTGAGGTTGGCTTCTCTGGTTTCCAGTGAATTGTCTCAACAGTTATTGGAAAGTTTGACATGAAGAAAAGATATTACATTTTGAAATGGGAATTGCACTGTATATGGGTATTTAACTGAAGTCTAGTTCTCATTTTTGAGGCTATAAGAGAATATTTCTCTGCTGGAAGAAGGAGCTCCATCTCCCCCAGTTTAGTGCAAAGAGCTTTTATTTGTCTTTGTCATTTCACTGCAGAGTTTTAATAGCGTGTTGAATAATGTTCTGGAAGACTGTGTCCCCTGCCAGTAAACATTTCTAGGGGGGGAAGTGTACAGTGAATGTTGCTTTATTATTAAATCAGTCGTGTGAAATGCTGCTGAGACAATGGTGTCATCAGAAAAGCCGTCCCGCTTGTGAAGTAAAGCAACGCCAACATCTGTGCCGTCAGATAGTCATGGCTGCCAATAATATTTACACTACGCATTCGTATCTTCAGCGCATATTGTTTTAAAACCGACAATATGAAGAACTGATGAGGCTGCTGTCATGAAAAAGTCCTTCTCAGTTTGTCACATTGACATTGCTGCCAACAGTGTTTTCAGTCGCCCATTGTTTCTGAGGGATCTTCTCCAGTTTAATCAAACGCTTTGTCTTGGTTAGGGATTTTTAAAGCTCTTGTCACTGAACAATGTTAGCATGAATTTTATTTCGATTCACATATATCCCGCTGAGGCGGCAAATCTTTGCAGCTTTGATGGATTTTCCCCCTCACTTTGTGATTCGGATTCCTCTAACACTTGTAAGACAAGCTTCAATACATGCCCTCTAAATATAGCTAAAGCCTCTGCTAAAACACTCTCGTCTGAAATGTATTATGGACGTATTGTACTGTAAGAGCAGTTTGTTTATGCAATTGTTTTGCGCCCACTATATATCAGTCCTCGTCCTTAAGATCGTAATGTGGCTCTAAATGACAGATCAGTGAAACTGCGTTCGCTGCTGAAGAGAGGGACATTTACTATCTCACTGAAATGCGAAATGGAAAATCATTGAAGGAAATGAATGGGATTATTTCCCCCCAAACAAAGCCATGGATTCTTACTTCCTTTTTGTTTATACATTTATCCTGCACTCATCCATGCCTGTGGAATAACACTTTTCATGAATTGCCAAATAAATAAAACACACCCTAAAAACACAAGAGTCATGTTGGTGTCCTGCAAAAAAAAAAAAAAACACACAGTGTGTGTGTTCAGCTGTTTATTTAGTCTCCATGTCATCATCCATCTCATGCACCGTACGTATCTCATCCATTGTTTTCCATCTATCATTTTGAAATGGATCAACTTTGAGACAATGTCACTTATGCAATTTTACCGCCAAACATTACCACGCAGTAAAACATGAGTTACTGCTTCCCGTTGTCTACACAGAGCTCTGTCCAGCTGCCAGAGTGTTGTTTTATTTACATTCTGTCTAAAACAAGATCTTATTCATCCTGGGGGAAACGCCTGTGTGATAACTGATCATTTATGTCATTTATTAGGTGAAAGAACCAAATATTAGTGTGACAAGTTTTAGGTCTTGTCATTTTTAGACATTTAATCAGACAAAAAAAAATGTTTTTTAAAGAATCTTGAATGATGATCTTGGGCCGTAAATAATGAATAAATTGACAAATAATCAACAGTTAAATCCAATCCAAGTCACACAACTTAAACACCACGCATTGTCATTGTAGAGTACATCTGTCTGTGTGTGACGTATGCTGCCATCAAGGCAACCATAACTGTGCCGTAAAAAAGTGCAATATTACATGTTTTAAACAATAGGACAGTTTTTATTGTTGTGGGAACATGTTGAGAGAGGCTGAGAAACATCATGGGATGAACATAATACACTAATCAATTGATGTACAGCGTTCCTATTTCAACTGACCCTGCACTTCTTTAAATATTAAACTTCGTGAACATTCACTTAAAAAACTCGTTAAATATTTCTCAGTTTTGTTGAAGTGAACAAGAGCTGTTAAATACCATCCATTAGCTTTTTAAATGTAGAGCATTTCATTTGCTCATAATTACTTAGGTATCTCTGTATCTATAAGAAATGGAGGATCTGAGTTTCCATGGAAACTCCAGAGACAAGTACCTAGCATTGTGGGACACGTGTCATTAATTCACAGAGCGTTGTTATTGATCTGTGACAACAACATTTCAGAGTGTGTGTTATTCTAATCCACTCAGGGACTGTATGTCTTCAGTCCAATAGGCAGAAGTCACAGAGTTACATCACTTCAAACTTACAATAAAACAGCATTTTGAAAGCGGAGTGATTTTTATCATAAGTCAGACGAGACAAGAAGAAGCAACAAGTGAATTTCCAAGAGATCTGATTGTTTAGCTCAGATGTCAGCGCTCCTCCACGGTGGAGGGGGGAGTTTTTATCTAATGGGGAACCTATTCAATAGTTCCTGTTTGTTTTATCTCTGTTGTTCTTTTTCGTTCTGCTTGAAACATAAAACTAGAAACACAGACAGATTGTGAAATGGAGAACACTACATCAAATCTCCATTTGAAATATAAAGGAATAACACCCCAAACTGAAGACCTGAGGCCTGACACATATTACACAATCATTGCCAGAAAGTGCCACGGAGAAATTCATTTCTGCAAAGAAAATATGTGGTAATAGGTGTAGTCGCTGCTTAGCGTCCTATCTCACATCCGGCGAAAAGCAGCGCAGAGCACAACACGAAGGTCATCTCCCCGTCCGGCGCCCACGCTGTTTCAATGGGAAATGCACTTGCTCTTACCGGTGCGTCTCTATTTCTCTGGACGCATTATCAAGATATTCATGCACCTGAATAGGCGGATGGAGGGTGGAGGAGAAAACAGACAGATGGAAATATGTGGTTGGAAATAAAACTTCCGGCCCTAATTCCATTTGGGGAATGGGACATGGGGCTCTGATTGGTTTATTGCTCGTTACACCCAAAACACCCCCATGATTAGGAGAGAGACAGTGAAACCCTTTCAAAAACCATTCACCTGGCGCACTGAACCTGCTCCACGACCATGCGCTACGAGCCTTTAGACTCTCGGTTGCTAACAAGACAGTTAACTAATGAAATGCATCTGTACCATCCACTTCTCAAGACTCCAAACAGCTAATATGCTAATAATATGCTATAAAGCAGCTAACACGATCCAGTAGCAGCCGTACACTAGTAGTAAAGGATCCCAAAGACCTTCAAGGTTGAACTCTACTTAAAAGCTCAGTGCAAATATGCTTTACCTCCACAGGCACCACTCATTTCAGTGATTCCACTAAAACTAATCAATTTTAGTTGTTAAAATTAGCTTATTACGCTGTCTGTAATAATGAGACAAATACTGAAATTGTGTTCAATCATTCGAACTCGAACCATCCGTTTTCCAACATCAACAATGCTCTATAATCTAAAACTGAAGTCTGGACTTCATTTCTGCTTCAAGGTACTGTGTACAGTACATAATGAATGGCTTCTTCGTTTTCTCGTGCATTTATTAATAAGAGGAAGGTTTTGAATTCGCTCACGCTCACTCATTCAACCTGGTTTTCATTTCGCTTCCATTGTTGATATTTAGACCATCCGCTGTGAAAGGTTTACTCCACAAGGCAAACCTAGCAGGGTTTTTAATAAATAGCCAAAGGCGAGTTGCGATTCGCTCATACTTCATTCCCTCAAGGACCTCTCACTGAAAAGCCACTGAGTTAGAAACTGCATTATGTACAACTCTGCACCCAGGCTTCATGTTTCCTGTGACGGAGTCATGGCAGGCCTTCTTTTTTCTTTTTTAGTCTAATCAAAGAACTATATTAATGCACTCTGCTCGGATCAGTAAATGTTATGTTAAACCATCACACCGAGAAGAAAGGGAAAAAAAAGAAAAAAGTTGCTTTAAAAGAGTTTCAACTTTCTGCTTCCATCTCCATTAGCCTTCATTTCAATTATTGATTGAGGAAAACTTTTGTGCACTGATCTGTTTTCCACCCTGGATCCAGCAGTGGGTTCATCCTCTGCTCCTTCCCGTCTGAGTGAAGCCAAGTGCAGGACAAACTCCAGCCCACAGACTTTTTTTTTTTTTTTCATTGGAGGTGTTTTTTTTTTGTGTGTGTGTGTGCGTTTGTGTGTGTGTGTGTGTGTGTGTGTGTGTGTGTATGTGTGTGTGTGTGTGTGTATGTGTGTGAATCCAACAGCGGGTTCAACTTTCTTGAACCCAGACGGGGACTCTGGGACGGAGGCAGACAGCGAGCCTCAGCTGGCCTTTTACACCGACCCAAACCGCAGTCGCCGCCGGAGTCGAGGTATGAGAAACGGTAACGCCAACAGCGCGTGGGGCTCTGGGGGTAAGGAGGACTCATACACCTACAGACAGATAATCCCGCCGTCTGATGGTATTACCATCGCCACGACGCATGACAAGTAACCTTTCCAGTGCATATAGCGGATGGATATCTCCAGTGTTGTGTGTGTGCTCGTGACTTTGACTCCTGAAGGAAACACGTAGAGTTTGTGTCTATGCTGTGTGTATGTATATAGACGTAGGTATAGTGCGTAGAGTGGTTTGTGAGCATGTGAAACTGATCTCAGTGCATCTGCATACAATCTTGTTGACTGAAATAAAACAAGATGATGAGATCAGAGGTTCTCAGTGGAGAATATCTTGATATCAGTTGCATCTTATGACATGAAGATCACCGTGTTTTGAAATAATATTATACACAAATATTATTTCTAAAGGGGGGGGGGGGGGGGGGGGGGCGGCTCTGTGCAAATGCTGCCAACGTGAAGTGGTGCAGCACGCTTTATCTGTCAGCATGCCATGTCCTTGCAGCTTTGATGTACATTAATGGGGTGTGGGAGAGAGAGATAAAGAAAGAGAGAGAGAAAGAAAAAAGAAGAAGAAGAAAAAAAAAAAAAAGTAAAGAGACAATTCCCTCAAAATAATAGCTGCTGTCAGAAGGTGTTACAAGCCTTTACAATGCCTCCAAGCCAATTATTCCCCCGTCATGTGCACAGGTGTCACAAACACGGCAAAGCCTCCAGAAGTGCAGCCAACACCTTTAATTAGAGGTTTAAGAATAGAATAAAGTGGCTGCAGCGCTGCCCTAACTATGTTTAGATCCAGAGGAAAAAAAGGATGATTCATGAGGGATGACAAAAGTGTTTCTTCAAGTCAGAAAGAATGATGACAGAAGGATGAGGATATTAAAATAATAAAATTTTAAACTTCAATAAAAATTTTCTGGAGATTTTTTTTTTTTAATCATTATAAAAATTAGGGGAAAAAAGGGGGAAATGCTTCCGCACACCCAGTTTTTTGGATAAGTTACTTGATTAAATAAACTAACCTTATACATAATTTGAGCGGTCAGCTTTCTACTCTGGCTTTTGTTTAAAGGTTTTTGCCTTGGGCGGCTTTTAAATGAGAAAGTTCTGCCAGAGCGGTGACAATGTCATTTAGTGTTATTCTGTTAGTGAAAAAATAACCTCTTTAAAACAAAGTGTAAAAGGCTATGTTCAAGGTCACTGTGATTTTGTATGTGTGTGTATGTGTGTGTATGTGTATGTGTGTGTGTGTGTGTGTGCATGTATGTACTGTATGCATGCCCCTGTGGGTACGAGGTCACGTTCAACACTCTGTTTTGCACTCTGCAGTAAAAGCGATAAGGGAAGCGTTGTTGATCCAGCAGGGAGGAAGAGCAGAGGAAAGAAGGAAGGTTGCAAAACAACCTCTGAACTGTTTTTTTTTTTTTTTTTATTTCGGCCCCCCCCCCCACACATCCCAGCGTGGATGTTAATACCCTTCAAAAGTAAACCTTATTTCTGTGCCACTGAGCCATGCCTAGGCTAACCCTCCCAAAGGCTTGCTGTTTTTGATCCAAAGGTCCTTTTCATGGGTGCTGAGCCCATTTTTTGGCCTGTTTGTAAAATGACTCCCTGCGAAGGCTGTGGGTATGTGTACGTATATGTTTGTGTGAACGGTATGGGAAGGGTGTGGGAAAATAAAGTTCTTCACATATCTCTACCATTTCTTGTCTCCCACCTCTCCCCCACTCCCTCCCTGTGTATCCCCCCCCCAGCAGCAGGTTCCCCACGGAGCCCCATCAATAAGACCACCCTGACTCTGATCAGTGTCATCAGCTGTGTGATCGGCCTGGTTTACTCCTCTCACCTCTCCTGCAGCCTCTCGGTCCGGGTAATCCTACATGTGCCGGAGCACCTCATCGCTGACGGTAAGGCTTTATACCCCCCCCCAAACATACACACACACACACACACACACACACACACAAACACACAAACACCTCTGTGGGCGCTCAAAGCCCCGCGGGGCTGAGCTGGCATTTTTTCTGCCATTCTCTGGGGAATTTGGCTCGCTACATCTCCCGAGCGGAGTGCCTGCGCTCTGCGGTCGAGCTGCCGATTTGCTTTGCTCTCTGAAAGACAAAGGTAAATGTCAGGTCGACCGCCCACCCCCACCCCCCACCCCCCCCTCTGTTTCCCATGTGAGACCACACGACAGATGTGCCCTCAAAGCATCGTAGCACATTGAGGCCAGGTCGCAGTGACCACCTGCAGAAGGCCCTCCATCACTCTTCCCCTTGTACTTTCTGATACGTTGAACCGCCACGCTAATGAATTTCAATGTAGCACCTGCAGAAAAAAATAAAAAAAATAATAAAAAAAAAACCACCGCAGGGGCCAAGCTACTGGCTCCCGATGGTTCATTGGCATTTTTCAGCTGTCACAGGAGTGAGCTGGCAGTCCAGATATATTATAGACTGTGACTAGGCCCACTCATCTATCATCTGGAGGTCTGATTTGATTCGGAGCGCTGCTGCTTTCTGGTGGTATACACTGGTCTGCCAGGGAGATATTAAAATTCCAGGGAGGCGTCCAGGGTGGGAACTTTGAAAGGAGAGATGAAAGATGGCGAATTCGCCTGTTGAATTACAAAACTGGGATCGATTTAGAATGTTTCCATAAATGTCTCCACAATCTCATCAGACTTGATTCGATGTCATGGTGAATCAGATGAAAATCTGGATTCTACCACAGGGGAAAGAAGCTATTAATGCCAACAGCTGTGCATGCGTATGCCTTCAAATACTGTGAAGAAAAAGCACAGAAATGTGGAGTCACACCTTTCTCCTTGCCTTTCACATCAGGGAATGTAATCATCTGGAGATGTTTGTGTGCTTACGCGGGATAACAATATCTGCCGCTATTCAAGATACATAACAAAGGACAGGACAAACTTTTCTGTATGACTAACTTGGGGATAGTCTGAAGTAGAACTGTGGTGGAGGGTTATTATCTCAGATTGCATTCTGTGGGAATAGGTTTTCTATTATCATGTGTCTTGTCTGAGAGACGTATCCGAGTTACAAAACTATCTCTTTGGCTGAGCGGTCTACAGCACATAACGTGCTTGTACTAATAACAGCTGGTAAACCTTTGTGACATGAAACGGGACGTTGCAGTCACTTCAGTTGCATATGAAATCTGGAGGGTGTTGCAAATACAAATTCAGCGGATGTCAGGCAATTCTTCTGTGTGACCGACTGCTGGGACGTTAACTTAAATTCACAAATGTCAACCTCATGGTGGCATTAGAGGAACAGTCGGGAGGGGGGGGTCACCGAAGTCATTAGGAGTCATCCTCTGGGAACCATGAACGTCTGTACAAATGTCAGTCTATCCAGCAGTTGTGGGGATATTTGGAACAACCAATTGACTGTATCCTTAGAGCCGCAACATGAGTTACAATGACCAAAGAAAGATTTCTTCGGTTTAATTATTGCAGCAATAGAAACTGAGTAAAAGTTACAAATCCTGCAGCAGCTACAGTTTTCCACAGTTTGTGTCACCTTGAATGGAAAAGGCCTCCGTGGTCAGATTACGTCACATCTTTCTGTTACTTGTTTTTCCAACCAGAAAGTTCACTAAGAAGATCGTCTGCCGTTCAGTGAATTTGTCTTTTCAACATTTTTCCCGTAACAAATTTCACGAGCCGCTGACTGACTGAAATGTCAAGTTACTGGGAGACGGCCGCCAGGGACCATGATCCAATGAAATCCCTCCTTATGTCTCCCCTGTCTGTCTCTGCTGTCAAGTGTCGGATAATAAGTAAATTATGAATAAAGTAAATAAACAGATGAATTATGAAAGGCAAAAAACATGTTTCTGAGGTTTTAGTTGGAGGCTCATTGCTTAAATTTCCCCTTTTTTTTTTTTAGTGTTATGAAACATTTTCAGGTTTGATGTTGCTAAGTTTCTGCCTAACCACCCCACTCTCACCCTGCCTCAAGTGCTGCCCAGTGGTGCTTCAATCAGCTATTAAGCAGGATGGCCGCTCCACTGATTCTTGCTCTGGAGGTCCATTCAGGCATACATGGCCTCCTCTGAGATTCACACTTAAGGTGATGATGAATATCCATCAAATTGGCTCCAGTTTCAAATCCTCATAAATAGTTGTTTTTTTTTTGTCAGAAGTCAGTTAGTGCATTTCTTTTTTTTAAACACATCCACAAACCGTTTATTTTTAGTATTAGAATCCACTTCATGATGTAGAAACCAAATTATTGCACGCCCGTGATTGCCAAAGACATCAAACAGGAAATAAAACGCATCATAAAAACAGAATCACGGCTGATTGGTGTTTTATGTCTGAAAGTTTTTCTAAGCAATTTTATAACTCTCCACAATTAAGCAAACAAGATGCGTCCAGCCATTTGCAGAGTGTGCTCTAGTTTTTAAGGGGGACCATCAAAGGGGGGGGTGGCACTAACTAGGGCACACAGAGCCCGCCAAGAGGTCATTAAATATGCCTGGGTTAGCAAATGCCCAGTGTATCCCAGGCTTGCAAATGGACATGGCTTTGGTCAGTGAGTCTTGCTGCTAATTTACAGCGATCACACAGCAGATAACCTGGTGTCCCTTTCCGGGCAGGTGCAAAGTGACAAGGAATGTTTCACAAGCGGTTCCCTTCAGTAAAGATTTACTGACATTCCTTCCAGTCAAGAGCGCCACGCAGCACACGGCGTCTGAGCTGCAAACAATGTGACAACTCACTCTTTAAGTGTCCTCTGTGTAATTAGTTGATTACACCATTTAAAGTAAAGGAAAGTTTTATGTCGCACCTTTCAACAACAAGGCAATTAAAGCATAAGTAGGTTTGAAATAAAGCGGAAACATTAACACGTGCCATCTGTGTCTCATTATCCCCCATTACAGCAAGAGAATGTAACCCTCAGCAGTCTGTGAACATATGGATACGTCATGTGTATGAACTTTACATATGTACATTTATATAGAAAACAACCGCATCATAAAGTGTCAACCTTCAAACTCTTCTACAGCTCTACTCTTATAGTTTCCCTTTTCTGAAGAAAACCTGGATGGGCTCAGATTAGGGTCAAAAAGATTTTAAAGTGATATTAGCAAATAATTCAAAAGACAGTCTGTGCGTTTGTAGAAAAGATTTGTATTTACTAAGACTGATTCACAAATCTGAGCACAAATTCAGCGGTGAGGCTACACTGAAGGAAGTGCACATCTGTGAACATCTGTGATCACTGATACAAAGACGGAAAAGTATTTTGTGTCATTGCTGAGATGGTTTATTGTTGGCAAAACTGCAGAGTAGCCTAAACAGAGTTTCAGAGTTTGAGGAGTAAATTTCCTCACAGGCCTTTCACTGTAACCAGGTTACTATGTATGTGCTACACTTGAAAACGGAGAGTCCATAACACAATTTCCCACGGCACCACTGGGAGTGACAAAGATCAGGCTCTTCACTGAACCTGTAGCCGGACAGAGGCGCATTCAAATCATTCAATGCATGTATTAAACAAACTGCACTGACATTTGGAGTCTATCATATTGTCTTTGTATTCAACATTAAAATTGCAGCAGATATTTGTTCCAACAGAATAAAACACTGTATGTGTACACTGTTTTCTTCACTGTAGTCTTCCTCCTTCTGGTGCCTGTGGGCCACCAGGGCTTCAGGATGCGGCACCTCCCACACTGGGACCGTCAGTTATTTGATTGGATCAAAATCTGGAAATAAATTTTGTGTAGTTTATTTAATGGTGTCTGTTCTGTCACTTAGTTCTTGCTTCTCATTGTAGCAGACAGAAGTGAAACGACAGGGAAGTGAAGGGACAGTCAAAGAGAGAGAGAGAGAGAGCTACAAGCCAGCTGTTTCTTTAGTTTTGTTTAGTTTTATAAAACTAGCACAGAGGCATTTTCCAATGTGCTCCAGGCACCAGAGCTGGACTGACCATCAGCAGCACTGGGACCAATAACAGCCGGCTCTGTCACTCTCTTTACCATCCCTCTCATGAGAGAGGTTTGCACAAGATGATGGGGTGTGTGTGTTCCCGGACTGTGTTTTCTGGCCATTGACTGCACATAATGTAATCACTCCGCCTCCCTTGCTCCGTTACTTTTTCTGTCCCCGGACCCACCGGCACAACCCCCACCGTGTTCGTATTACAACTGAAGCAACATGTTAGCCTTGTTATTATTGGTACATCCTCAATGTTTGCGTATTTTAATATTTCAGTTTTGCAGCTGTCAAGGTTTGTTGTTTTGACTCTGGCTTTAATAATACTAAATAATTATTTTTCAAATATCGCAGTCGAGGTTAAGATGGCAGCCTTAGGCTTTTAGGTGAAGTGAGGTTAGGTTAGGTCAATACTTCTTTCTTTAGATCAAACAATTTCATTGTGAAGGTTTTCTAACACTGAGGGTTGATTGTTTTCTCACCTCTGAAGGACCTCATTGTCAATTTCAGTTTAGAGCAATTTTCTTTAATTTGACTGAAGATATTTACTGTATGTTGGAAGGTTCAAAATATTCTCTGTCATTGGGACTTTTTTTCTTTTTATATTTGTAATTAATTTAAAGAAAATATATGAAGGGGCATTTTGAAACGGCAAAATCAACTTTCAAACCCAATACGTATGTTGCATTTGGTTTCACATTTTTAATTCATGCTTTTTTCTACCGACTGTCTGACTGATTTTTTATTCCTTCTCATTCTCTCCTGCTCTTCCACCCTCTCTCCACCTGCCAACCTTTCATTCACCATCCACAACCCTCTGTGTTTGTTCCATTCCTCCTTTTCTTCAACCTTCTATATCTTCCTTCCTCATGCTGCCCTTTCAACCCTCCTCCCTCTATCCTCCCCAGGATCGAGGTTCATTCTGCTGCAGGGGAGCCAGTTGGATGCTTCGGACTGGCTGAACCCCGCCCAGATCTTGTTGTACTACCAGCAGAACGCCAGTGGGCCCTGGGTCAATGAGCTGTGCGGACGACGCCTCCTGGACCCCTGTGAGCACCAGTGTGACCAAGAAACAGGTAAGCCAGGAGCAAGACATGACCAAGTGTCAGTCCTGCACTTTACCGGGATTAGTTACCAAAGAAGCCGGATGTGTAGCGGTGAATGCACGCAGCATGTACTCACCTCTGGACAGCTGGGGAAACAGCCACAGATATGTACCGGTGCACATCTGGCAGAGTAAAGCATCATTTTTCAGTCTTTGGTGTAATTTGAAGCGTTTACTATGCAGAGATTTTTGGCCCCTGACTTTAGCCTTTAAGGCAGTGGCTTCCCCCAGGCAAGCAGTACAGCTGCAGCAAATCCGGTAAGAAGCATTTGTCTTAAGAATAACCTCAGGGAACAAAAGCCGCCCCCCCTCCACCCTTGTTGTTCCATAACCCACAAACTTCATAGCTCACCAAACTCCAGACATGAAACAAACAGACCAAAGGACTTTTAACCTTTCTCAACAAGTAAAGAACGTCTGAGAGCGATGCCACAGACGACGGCGGGAGAAGATGAGAGAAACATAACGTTGGTTAATAACATAACAGTGTGAAAATAAACCATGGCGAGTAAAAAAAGAAACGCACCATGGCATGGAAAGGTCATGCATTTAAAATGTCAGCAAAATGCACTTCAGGCACCAAAGGTAAAAGTAGGCTGCTCTCAGTTCAGAAGAGTAGGTCGTTACACAGTGTTTTATACCATTGGATTAATATTACTGATGCATGAATGTGGAGACAGGTGTGAGGTTGAAGCCACAGTATACCACCTACCAAGACACCACTACACCGCTGATAGAAACATCATTCATTATTATATGATTTGAACAAGGTGTCAGCTCTGTGGCTGGAGATAACGAGCTGTAGAGAATACAGTTATCAGTATGGCCTATTAAAGTTGTTATTTGGAGTCATATACATATACGTATTGCTTCTATAGTCAATGTGCTTTTAATAATATGCTTACGTAATGATATGCTTCATTTCATAAGCATTATTTAAAGGGGTTATATGTTTTCTCTGCTGCCGAACGTGGTGTGTCACTTGACAAGAGCTTTGACCATCCTTGTGTTTACAAGATAAGAGGTTATAATACGTCTTCGGGACAGATTGGAGGCTACAGTGAGTCGCTATCAGAAAGTGACAAAACAGGCCGGTGCTAGCTAGTTAGCATGCTAACTTCATTAGAAGAAGATACGTGATAGAGATATGAGTTAACATTGGTTTTGCTGAATGAAATTTGATGCTAAACTCACAACATTTTTTACTAAACTCGTAAGTAAAAAGCTATTCATGCTAACATTGGCTATGTAGCAATAGCAAAACTTACAGATAGCTCCTTTAAGGGCTAGCTAGCATGGCCTGTGAACTGGCTGTTGCAGGAGGCCCGAGTCCTACAAAGTGCCCCCAGACCTCCCAGTGTCCGTGTGCTTCACTCACCAATGACTCGACAGTGGCAGTAAATCAGTTTGTAGGAGGAAGGAGCCCTTTTTCTTTTCTTTTTTTTTTTTTAAATTGTTTACAGGTGTGACCACAATTATGCTCAGCCGTGCTGCAGGGCCTGAAAATGAAAATAGATTGCCTGCAGCACTTGACCTGGTTTTCTCCAGCGGCGCTGTGTGTGGAGCTGATCAATTAGTTTGCATGTCTCCACTGTCAACTTCATTTGCGCTCTAGGTAACAGCAGGAAGACTATATACAACATCTAGTTCCAACTGGAGGGTTTGCTTTTTTAGAAAAATATGAAAGAAAAAAAAAGGTTAAAACTATATAGACAAACGAAAATGGGAATAAAAAGCAGAACGTGTAATGCATTTGTCTCAAGATACTAGAGGCAGAAAATATTATAGGGTTAAGATTTAGCCTGTTAGTGAACTCATGTGTCCTGTATGGGATTTGATATAAATGCAATGTGTAGGAGCTCAGAGACGCACTAAAACTGAGTTTAAAAAATGTAAATAGCTTGATATTCAAATTCAATTCAAATAATAATCAATACATGTTATTTATAAAGTGCTTTTTGAGACACTCTAAGGTGCCACATCTGCTAGTTACACCTCCTGTTTCCTCCTCTGCGAGGCTGAGATAGAATCTGATCAAATATTGGATTTTTTTTTTTTTTTTTTTTGTTATCATGCTGCAGTGTGTTGAATTTCCATCACTATTCCTGAAGCTTGTTGAAGCTGAAGTATGTGTAACCTCACAGCTGATATTTCTGGTGTTGATGTTAAAGGGCAGGTCCATTTTTCCAGTCTGTCTTAAAACAGCAGTCAGGTGCCTGTATGGACATTTACACAGGTCTGACTTGCTGTAATCTTTCAAAGCTGTTTATCCTGACCATTAACGGTCCCATATTTTAGTTTCAGTGTCTGAATACTGGCTGTACAGAACCTAGACCTGCTTTATCATCAAACAACACATGGACATCTACCTTTATACAATAAGTGACCTTTAAAAGGACTGTTGATTTCTGTTCCCCACCACTTACATTGAAAGTACATGAGAGAAGTATTGAACAATTACAGCAAGAAGAAGCCTGTTTCATTGGCATCTTGACTGTGAACCTGTCCTTTCATGTTATTGATCCGTATTTGAATCTATACACACTGACAATCAGACATCTAAAAATAAAGACAATCTTCTCGTCTTTTCAAAAATCTATTCCTCTCCTCTCCTCTGTTGCGTTTCATGTAGTTTGTTTGGTTTAACACAAGAGTATTTGCTGCCAGTTACACTGTAGCTGGAGAGATGAATAGTGGGTTGAAGTGATAAATGTAAACTTGATGGCATGTCTGAAATGACTGATACATTATACTGGTGGTATGCTGAGGAAAAGTGACATGTCAATAACTGATTGATGGCACATTATATCAGTTCTTCTTTGTGACCAAAAACTGAAAAGTAAACACCAACTTAGCTCAATATTATTGTATTCTTTGATTTAATCTCTGTTTAGATCTCACTTTATATCTTTACAGATGTTGTAAAATTGCTCACAGAGGCTGTCAGCTCAATACCCAAAGAAGATATTTATGTAAAATGCAGCTGGGATTTTGAAAGCAGCGCCTTGGCTGTAAAGGCAGCACTCACAACTGCTGATTGATGGATGTAAAACATGATGCATGCTGGGTAAAAATCAAATCCTGGTCCTAGGCACTTGGAAAATCAATTTCACATAGTCGTTATCACTGAAGATATTTCTGAACAGCCAACGACCATGAAACTCAAACATAAAACATATGTAGAAGATACTGTATTTCATATGGAGTATACATTGTACAGTGTGTGCCTATGGGCCACGTGCAGCTACTGTACATAATGTTTTATTCAAGACACAGACCACATTCATATTCCAAATGATGAGAACAGTGTGCTGATGAAACAGAATTGTAGAACATTTTGTTGTTTAACAAGCTCTTTATCGCTCTCTCTGCCAGCGAACACAGTTTGATTCTCCCTGCCTCCAAATTCACTGTGAAGAAAGCGTGAGCCTGTAAAACAGAATAATATAATACATCTTGTTGTTTTAACATATTAGAAACGTTTTAGCCAGAAAAAAGAAACTCATTTTGTGCGAGTTATGCAGGAACAGAGCAAACTCAGTAAGTTTGTGCTCGGGGGGGGGGGGAGTTGGGCAGCTATTACTGGTGCACAGGCAGGACATGTGGACTCAAATCCCACTTAACACACAATCAAGTGTTAGTGACTAGCATGCTAATTTGTGGGACTGATTTGCATTTGCAATTAGGCGTGTAAGTTGGCAGGGAAGGTCAGCTGATGGGGAACGGCGGGGACGTAGGAGTTACTGCAGGGCAGACGGGAGTGGCTGAAGGGAGGCTGAGGAAAAAGGAGAAGAAGGCAAATGTGAAATTAAGGGTAGGCTGAACTTCCTCTCCCGAACTGATCTGTGCCAGTCTAAGCGTGCAACACAACTGACACCAGGAGATGTGTTGCAAACTGACAGCTGGCACCTTCAAACAAAAGCCTGTTAATGATTTTCAATGGTAACAGTGTGTGTGCGTTTCAGTGTGCAAATAATATTAGTTATGTGCAGCTCAACAAAACGGAAGGGCTTGCCAAAGGGTATTTGCAGAATCCTGCCACGTATGGGAGATAAAGAGTTTCCCAGTGTCACAGCACAAGACTGACGCTGTCATCGCGTTCCTCGTCAAGTGAAACTGGAACACAGGGCACCTGAGCAGATCCCTGCCAATCGGAGCCCATCACAGAGTGACAGTTGTCATCCTCTTCAGTGTACTTTTGTCATGTAATGGTGACATTTTGCCACATATGATGTGCAAAATACGCATAGTTCACGCGTGTCAGGATGATCACAATCAGTCAATCAATCAGACTTTATTTGTGTGGCGCTTATCGTACAAGCAATGTAACACAACGTGCTCTACAGAGTCAAAGCAATAAAAACAACCCCCCCCACCACCACCACCACCACCCTCCTCCAGAAAATTAACAGCGGAGCAGTTGATGGTTTGCGTTACTAAGGCCACGTCTGGCGCCCATGTTAACGGGTTAGAGCGAACACACGTCAGTCGCGCGTCTCGCACCTTACAGCTGCATGTGTCTTTTTTTCTTGCGTGCCGCATGTGTCAAAAATAAATCATCAGAATTTAGATAATTAGGAAGAGAAATCCAACGTTTGAGTGGCCTGCAAACTCCATGTAGAGAGACAGAGCTGACAGCTGCAGAGACGCAGCCACGAGGCACAGATACAAAGAAGATAAATGAAGCTGTACAGGACGGAACAAAGGCCAATAAACAACAAAACTCGTAATTACTTTCTTTATGAAACACACATTATATTTCTTCTCATCAGCCTTGAATGAGTTTCAACAATCATAGTGTTAACTTAAAAAAAAAATAACCAGCCTCAGTTTTACACACATTTTACACATCAGTCATTTACATTTTTAAATTTAAGTTCGGTCACCTCGATTAACATTAACATTTAGATAAACATTACATTAAAATGAAATTAACAGTCAATCAAGTTTTGTTCAACTGTTTTTTTTTTG